AGGTCCCTTCCGACCCTAGAAACTATGAAACTATTCTGCTCCTCCACAGCAAAACAAGTACTGAGATCAATGAGAATGAAACGCAGAATACAGCTTTTTGGCTCTACAATCCATCTATGTTCATAGCTTACTATGTTCAATAATACATATTAGAGAGCAGAATCCAGAACTCTGGGCCCAATTTTTGAGCCTACAATCAAGACCAGATTTTAAAATTAGTTCAATTACCATTTAGTAACCCAGAACAGGGCCAGATTTTCAAAATAACTCAGTACCCAACAGTTTCCATCATGATGTTTATGGATTAGTAAGAAACTCAGGAGCAATTTGGGCTTTACGCTGGAGGTAAGCAGAGAAACATCTTATCTTCTTAGATGTAAAAATAGTTATTTTTATAACTCCACTAAGGAACTGTAAAATGCCAAGTACACACAAGAAATAGGAAGCTTGAAACAAACCAAAAGAAATGACCGATATGAAAATGAACTCCATGCTCAACGACTCATCAACAGCTATTTACTTAAATTAATTTTTCAGGAAGGAAGAACAATAAATCCTATATTTTATTGTTAATAATGCTGTTTTTTTCAACAAAATAAAATTACAAATTGTAGCATTTTCTTATTTTTCTATTTTATAAAGACAGTGAAAACATGATAATGTTCACGGCTAGTTTAACTCCAATATTGGTATAAGAAACCAATCATTTTCCCCTGTAACTCCTGCATAAACTAACAATAAAACAAGACACACGTTCTATTATTTATTATTTTAGTTTTTTACTTATTAGACTTCAGCACTATCCAGACTTACTTTTCTGATGTCATCTAAAGTGTTGATCTCTGGAGACAAGCCGCCATGTACACATAGGAATTGTTGATTCATCAGAGCAGCCAATGGAAGGCAGTCAAAGGCATCCATGCAGGCATCATATACCCGTTCTGAATACTTTATTTTACCTTTCAGATATTAAAATAATATAATAAAATTGTGTTCAGCATTTGCAATAAAAGATAGTACTATATATTAAGAGTTTTAGCTCTCTAATCAATGAGTAAGAAGCAAATTATTTCAGTGGAAGCAGATTTGTGCCATACATTATATTTGTTTGAACCTTTATACAAGTGACAGAAATTACTAGACAGCTATAGTTTATTTATTTCATGTTCTGTACACACAGGGACATTTTGGGTTACTGTTACCCGCTTATGGAAAAAGTCTAAAGACATTAATAAAAATGAAACCAAGAAGCTTGGCTTATAATGCTACTGTGCACCTCAAAGATTTTTAGGCACCAAACTCCCATTGAAATTAATTAATTTTATTTCACAAAATGATTTTGGCAGCTCTATGCCTTTGAGAAGCTGCTCCAGACTAGTTACAAAAGAATTAGTAAGAAAACTATAAAATTTAATATAGAATATTTTCTACAGAACTAAATGTTAAACTTCTGCTATGAAGTTCTTTAGAAAATTTTAAAATTCTACAGAAAGGTTATCATGGTTTATGACTGGAACAGCCAATCTGCAGTATGGAGTGCCACAAGTAGCACAGGCAGCCTCTGTGGGTAGCACATGCCAGATCAGAGAGGAGACAGGAACCAGGAAGTAAAGCAGGAGATCAGGCAGGGAGCACAGGACATGAAGCAAAAACTGACTTCCACAGCAGCTGAGCAGAGGAAGAGGACCAGAGTGGCACTTTGGGAGGGTACAGGGCCAATTTCCAGCACACTTGCCAAAAAGACTGGCTCCAGTTTTTCATAAAGTGGAACTTTAACCCCATCCCTTATAATTAATTACCTACAGAAACACCATTATGAAATGAATGACAGCACAATTATTTTGAAACATTAATTTACCAATACGCACACTAAATGTAGTAAATCATGACTCCTTCCAGACAATTAACATTTCTTTTACCCTGTATGCTAAAAAGGGAATATGAACTTGTGCAATAGCTTAGCTTACAAAACTACAGAATGATTTTTTCACCATTCAAGTGAAGCTTTCACCTAATCAGCTTTTAACTGTCACCACATCCTTTATGGCATCATAACTAAGAATGCCCATGAAAAAAATGAAAGAAACAGATCGATACACTAAAATGGTTCCATTTTAGATCGGAAAACAGCATATTTTAAGTAATAATTGTTACAAAATTCTTGGTTTTTTAATTTATTAAGCAGCAATTTTTATTTGGAAAGGTAATACTACAATGTGTTAGTGACTACTATCACAAATTAAAGGAAGAGATGTTGCCCAGTTGTGTATTGAAAAAACCAATGACAGGCTAGGCACCAAGACAACCTTGTTTTTTATTTTGCAAACTCCTTAGTAAAAGCAAGCATAATCATATCAAAATCAAAGGATATAGTACAAACTGTTATAATGTTGCTGTCATGTCCACATGATTCTATAATGATACAGGTATAGTAAAACTAATCCAACTTTAACTCTGCTTTGTCCAGGGTCAAAAATGGCAATTTAGCTAGCTGGCAAGCTACTACACTACAATGTAAAAGAAAGGTACCAAATATGAAGCATACTTACATTCTTGTTTAAATGTGAAATACTCTGTTAAATGTCTACATTCATGATTCCCACGAAGTAAAAACAGTGTTTTGGGATAAAGAATTTTCAAGGCCCACAAATACAGCACACACTGCAAAACAAAAATAAATTATGAAAACAGGTAAATTAACTGACATGGCTTATTTCCTTTCAAAAGTATTGTACATGAAATATTTTAACCTTATTTCACTGGGTTTACCTAGCTGTTTTATGCAGATTGTTTCTTTATATTTTGGTATCTTTAGGTTTGTGAATAGTTTACACTCCTGTTAGGTGACAATGTCTGTATACACTTATTTGTGTACACATCTACATTAATGTCCCATCTCAGGCACACAACACTTGAGAATTACTAATTTGCAATTCCAGGGAAAAGATGATAAAACCACCTGGAAACCATTACACAGGATGATCTCCAGTTCCTAATATAAGGAATGAAATATTGCCATGGAATAATATCAGAATTCATGAAAATTACTGAATTTGTAAAATAGCAACATTTGTACATGATTGTTTGTCATGAACACTTGCACATTATTCATTTTACATTATTCAGTTTTCATCTATCTACAGCTTCTATTCAATGCTACACACATTTCCTATTAAATGAAGACATACCTAATGTTACAACTTTTTTTACCCTTTTTTACCCCACCACTGAGATTAATAGGACTATCATATTTCACCCTCTATTTGAGGCTCTGAGGTCTAATCAAGCATTCAATTTTTCCAGTTCTGCCAAATTCAGGTTTACCTCCATGTTACTCAACCATGGCTGGTGAACTCAGACTGGTGGGGCAGGTGGAGCGTCCCACAGGAGTGGAGGGGTAGGCACTCTGGCCAGTAGCAGGGAGGCTGCAAACCTCCCCCCCTCCCGTGGGGTGCTCCACCGCCCCACCAGTCTCAGTTCACCAGCCACACCTGTTATGATGACAGAGACACTGGTAGGCTTCCAAATTGCTTTAAAATTGTAAATATATCAATAAAACATTGCCTAACTGATCTCTCTGTATATAGTGGAGAATTTGGGGGGGGGTTATCAGATAAT